CCAACTTGCCACGAAGACGAGATTTGGAATAAAAACATAGAAATTATTTTTCATGATAGGTACACAGTGACAAGGCAAATTCAGTCAACGTGTTGAGTTGCTGAGTGGATCACCAGGATTATCTCAAAAGGATGATCAGGGCAGTGAGAACAGAAATCTAAGCAGTCAGATGGTCATGTTTGGGATGGGGAACATAAACTCAAAATCTGTGGGGCTTTAAGGAAGGAGTAAATGGTCTGGCTAAGGAGCGGACAAACCAATCTGACTAGCTCTGGCATGAAATGCAGGTCCACCCTGTAGGCTACAGATGTGTTCCTTCAAGGTAAAACAAACTCTTGTAAAGAAAATCATCTCCCTTAGATGCATTTTCCCAGGAAAAAAAACGCCCAGCACAGTTCCTCCCTGTAGCTAAGGAAAACCTTTGCATGGTTTAGAGAAACAGTTCTGTGAACGGCTCCTCATCTAGCGTTCTGTACCACCTCGCCATCATCTACACAGTAACTTCTTTAGGTAGAAGAAACATTCTCTAACGCTTTCGCCCAGGGACATCTCCTTGACAGGGTTCCTTCCATAAGATGGTGTCCTAAAACTTATCAGAGGGACCCTCTCCTGTTGTATAGCTCGAGGATCTGGATTGGTAACCAATAAACCCTTGGGAATGTTTCCTAGCTGTAAACCTCAGAAGTCACCAAGAGCTTAAGATTCAGAAATTCTACCTCTATGCTTCAGGACTACAACATATATTGTGACATTTTAAATACTGGGTTAGAGAATGTCTCTTTGATGGAGCGGTCCTGAATCCTTCTGTATATTAATCCTCCCTGCCATTCGGTCCCAAACCATCGCTTGCTACACTTTCTGTTCTAGATTCCCATTTTCACATGTGGCACTTGGCTGCTTTAAAATAGCACTGTGCTCACTCCTGGGAACCCAGATGGTCAGTACTCCAGAGCAGCCGCACTCAAGGGGTGTGGGAGGGCACTGCAGCATGGAAGGAGGTCTGGGCAGAAGGAAGAGGTGCACATACAGGGTCACCTTTCACAAACTGACTTCAGTCCTGCCCACCTACCTTCAGCATGCTAACCTGACTTCAGGTATTTCTAACAGATGTCACCTTTTTTTCTTCCTGATTTTGCTCTTAACATAAAAATTTAAAGAGTAATTCTAGGTTCACAGCATCTGATTCCACTATGAGCTTTCCCCTCAGTTGACTGAATTGGAACCAGCTGACTTTTAAAATAAAAAAGCATGCTATTAAACAAAAGATACGTCTTGCTTTTGAAGCTAAAATTTGCTTCGTGTCTCCCTACCAAAAGCTTCACAAGGGCAGGGTATTCCCATCTGTTTTAGTCACCCAAGTTCATCAGTGCCTGGCATGTGGGCATTTGGTGTTTGATGAATCAAGAAGTAGCAATAAATTCTTGTTCAACCTGATTGCATAGGCTTGAAGGGAGTAGCCAACTTCCTTTCCAACATGTATGATTTGATGGTACAACAAAAAACTTCTAGGAAGTGCTTTTGGTATGCCTGATGTAAAAACCTACGTAGCAACCCCCCTATCCAGGAAACCCAGTGATGGTGGTAAGCCAGAAAACCACATTGTGCCCTCCATCCCCAGGAGGGCTTCTTTCAAAACATTGGATTCCCTCGGTATTCCCACTTCTATTCCCCACCAAAACTTGATACTGCTGCTATTTGGAGAAACTAAGGCACAAAGGAAAAACAAGTACATCAAAAGGCCGTCCTAAGTTCTTCAGTTTATTCCATGAGCTCCTAGGACACTCTACAGAGTATAAAACTTGAACCTAGACTTCACCTCTAATTCTCAACGACAGTTGACTTTGTTAAGAGATATTGGCATTATTCTCAGGGGAACAAAGCCATTTCTCTTTTGTAGACCAGTAAGAAGTATGTTCATCTTCTAGGATGAAAACTTSTGATAACTGTATTTCTATTTCAGCCGCAGACCACACTGTCACCAATCTCAAATGAGAAATTTTGGCCTTTTTGGCATTTGTGCTAGAGAATGCACATTCCTGCTGGCATTTCTTATTTATATGCTTGTATTTTTTGGTGCTGGGGATTGAACCCAGGGCCTCATGTGCACTGCTGCTAAGCCACACGCCCAGCCTGGTTAGCTGCTAATGGTGCTTGCCCCTGGTTGGAAATCTGAGCTGCACAGTCACCCTGCTCACCCCGGACCATGGCAGCTACAGGAAAAAGCATTCAGAATACAGTGTGACTCTCCAGGCTGGTTGCTTGCAAGGCAGTTTATTATACAGATGGTGGGCAAAAGCCACCATAAGTGAAGAATGTGTCTAGATATCAAAATTGCTTGTTTTTAATCTATGTAAAATCAACTGTAAGACATCTGTCAATCACTGTATGTATGATAGCTGACACATGTATTYATAGACATGAGCTGAAAAGTCAAACAAACTAAATTTCTATGGCTTCTGCTAGAGGTGAGAAAACTGGTGAGGGAAGAACAGGCAGCTCTCACAGGAACTGGAAATATTGAAATCAGTCTCATGTGTCCTTCCTAGGCAACCCCCTGCTAGAGAAATGCTTTAGGAGAAAATGTGGGGACTAGGAGCCTGCAGCCACGAGGCTGCAAGATAGAAAAGTGACCTTTTTTGCTGGGGTGGAACCCAGGGCCTCACTGGTGCCAGGCAAATGCTTCTCCACTAAGCCACCCACAGCCCCTAGCGGGAGTTCCACGAGCTCACCATCTGTGCAGCTTATTTGACCAAGCAACTGGTGACCTGTCACTGGCTAAAACCTAAGCTGCAGGCTGAAGGTTCCTGGGTGGCTGAGCCCTGAACAGGCACAAGTGGAAACAGTTCATACTGCTGAAGAGCCCAAGGAAGAGCTGTCTGGTTACCAAATGCACCTTCCACACAGGAACCCAAGAAATAGCCAAGTTTTACAGGAAAACCCTCTGCTCTTTGGTGAAGAGACCACCATTGGAAATAAGTATTGGCCACAGAATTGAGCACTGTTAGTCATGTAAAGGAGCTACCCACTGCTTCTTATGGCTGTTAGGTCAGCTGTTGACCAGAGGGCCAACAAGGAAATTTTTTTTTTTTTTGTACCAGGGATTGAACCCAGGGTCACTTAACCACTGAGCCACACCCCAGCCCTTTTTTATTTTTTCAGACAGTCTAAGTTGTTTAGGGCCTTGCTAAGTTGCTGAGGCTAGCCTTGAACCTGCAATCCTTGTACCTCAGCTTCCTGAGTTGTTGGTACTGCAGGCAAGCACCACCATGTCCAGCCCAATGATTTCATCTTATTCTTAGAAGCCTATCTAGAATCTCTATATTCCTGGAGTTGGTTTTTTTTTTTTTTTTTTTTTTTTTTTGTGGTACTAGGGACTAAATCCAGGGGACCCTTACTGAGCTACATCCCTAGCCCTTTTTGAGACAGGGACTTGCTATGTTGCCCAGGCTGGCCTTAAGCTTGCAATCCTCCTGCCTCAGGCTCCTGAGCTGCTAGGACTGCAGATGTGCACCTCGTGCCTGACTTCAGAGTTCTTAAAATGCTAAACACTGAATAAAAATGGGACAATGAAGGTTCACTAGTGCAATGTTCCGTAATACCCTCTGCATGTTCCAGAAGTCACTCGAAGGCCCTAACAATGTCAACTTTATTTTTAGACAAATGGATAAAGATTTTAAAAATCAAAAGCAACTATGAAAGAAAATGACAAAAGGGAGGAGGATATTTGGCAAGTGGGTTAAGCTCATTTATAGTACTCCTAATAAGAATAACTATGTGACTACAGGTCTATTTGATTTTCTCCTAAAAATAAATATACATATACATACATAAAAAGCTACTGTAATGAAATCTTTTTCCAGACTGATATTACATATCCCACTTGGAAGTAATTCCCAAATATCCATGTTGTAAAAACTCAGTGGCCATGGCTCACCAAGCAAGCTGCGAGCCCATCTTCCCAGAGGGCCTTTGGAGAGAAGTCTACTATCATCAATAAATTCCCACCCCCCCCACCCTGCGGTCCCAAGGATTATAGGCTTGAGACACCCCCAAACCACTACCCATAAAGCAGACAAGGGGCCCTGCTGCATTGCTGCTGGAATTTGTCTCAATCATAGCACCAACTCCTCAGTACAATCACAGCTTGAAGAGTCAGCCGACAAACCCTCCGAGCAGTTTCCTAGTGCAACTCCCATCTTTGGTGTAGGGCAGGCAAAGGGTCCACAACATGCGGCTGTCAACAGGAGCACCCTAAGGGCAACTGGCTGACCTGCTGTTCAGGGCACCCTCTGGAAAGCAGTGAACCATGACTTTCTGTCAGCCTTTTGCTCACTTTAGAAAGGATCATGTATGTGACTTGCCATCCCCCTGCTGAACTCTCTCAGCACACATACAAACACAGCAAAAAGAAACTGGGATGGGGAGTCGGGAAATGCCTCTAAGCACCCCTAAATTAAAGTTCTAATCAAAAGCTCCTGAGATATGAGCCTCCATTTTGGTTGTGCTCAATGACTTGAATTCTGATGGGAAGAATGAGTTTTCAGAGAGAGATTTTAGACAAAATCATTTAACATGAAGACCAGAAATCACTCTTTGAAAACTTCTGGTTCAAACAAGTTGCAAACTATAACCTGAAGTCAGGGATTATCATTCTCAAAATTCTTTCCAAGAAAACCAAGATTTCAGATTCCTGCTAGGTCCTAGGAGAACAGTTTATTTTCCAGAAAAGTTACCTAAAACCTATCCAATAGGATTATTGCACAGTGGGGCCCACAGGACAATGACTTCCAAGGGCTAGTCTTTATATTAAAAAAGGCCACAATAAATACGTCTATATATTATGCCCCACTCTAACTTGACATGGTAAACATAAATATAAGTCTTGCTTAAAAAGAAACTCCTGAGGAAAGAAAGGGATGGAAAACTCTACCAAGGCCACTTGGGTCAGAAACTACAATTACTATTTTCACTGCCACGAAGGACAAACAGACTGACCATTCTAAACACCAAGATGAACCAGAGACAAGGTACCTATCACTCTTCAGTGTTATGCTCAGATCACAGTCCAAAGCGAACTCTTAAACTTCCTAGAAGACAGGTTAGAAATGAAGTAGGCTGCTGGCATTCAACTTGTTGGTGGAATTTGCCTTCTTCCTCAGTCATTAAGGGCTGAGATGTCAGTGAGATGCTCAAAACCCAATCTCTAGTAAGTTCCAGTGTTTACCTATTCACTCAGTCCTTGACATTTACAAAGGGAGCTACAATTGGGTCTTTCTTCCTTCCCTTTTTAAATCTGGGTAGCACCGTGTTTCACACTAACATTAATCCCTCCACCATACCCCATCCAATGTGGTAAGATACCTGGCAATCAACTCACGCAGCAGCCTGTGATGCTCAAAGCAGCCTGAGCTTCAAACCCTTCTGCTCACCCTATTAAAATGTCAAAGCCTGAGTACACAAATAAAAACATACTGCTCTAGGAAATATTAACTGAATTATTTGTTTCCTATTATAATTGGTTAATCATGACACATAGACAATGGGTATGATTCCAAACACCAAACTGTGTGGTCAAGTTTCTACACTGACGACTGAGTCAACAAGCCATCCCTGCCTACAGCACGGCCGCGGCATGAAGCCGGGCAGTCTCTGTTGCCTGGGTGGTGGGAGTTCTCATGGCTTCTGCTTTTCAAAGCATTCACTCTCATTCTAAAATGGTATGCTATACACAAAACCTCCATTTTATTCCAGAATACATCATCTTCAGAGAATAAAAAGCTTTTGTATGCACATTCTGCCAATACATTTAAAAAGGCCCAAATTTTAACAAGTAATATAGACAAATTCATCAGACAAGAGATCATAAATTACTTTGGCCGAAAAAAATCTTAAAAAAAAAAATCTGGCTCAACATTCTGCTTGCAGGTCTCTACATGTACTGCGTGTGTGTGTATGGTGTGTGTGTGTCGGGAGCTTCGGTTAAGGGAATGGAGTACGGGCTAGCCCACCTTCCCATAGTTACGTAGGAACTACAATGTTCTTTGCTAGCAAAACAAGAAGTGCAAGGTCTGCATTTCCACCGACTCGATGCAGAGCCCCGAGAGCTTCCTGCAGAGTAAAGCCCGCGCGGAGAATCCGGTCAATATCTGTGGCAGGAAAGACTAATGGTGGAAGAATGGAGGGACTTGATGGATGGCTGGTAAGTGGCTCTATTTCGAGAAATGGCCTTGCAGCTTCAGGGCAGACATTTTCTCTGGTTTCAGGTCTGGCTGTTATTGGATTCTGTCTGCCCTGACCCAAGTCTTTAACCAAAATGAAACTGGATGGCGAAGTTTGCTCAGAAGTCTGACTGAGTGCATCCTCCTCTCCTGCTACAAGTTTGGATGAAATTTCTGCACCTAAAGTACAGTGTAACTGATTAGATGATTCAGCTGAGGGTACAGTGACACAGCTGCTCTCACTTCCTGACTCCTTAGATTTGGGGACACTTTCCTTGTCAGCCAACAGGCTATCACCTGGACCCCTGAAGTTAGTATTTCCTACACCTTCTATTCCAGTTCCAGGGACAGTGCCCAAGTTTTCCATCTTGGCTGATACAGACCTGGCCTGATAAAAGGAGACTTGTGAACACTGTTCACTGTGGCTCAGATGCTCATTTTGGGTCCATCTTTCTGAAAAGCCCTTAATACCTGTTTGGCTCTTGGCTCCTTTTTCTGATTGACAGACAACTTCTTCAGACACACTCTCAGAAGCTGGCTTATTACTAATGACTAAAAGTTCATGAAGCTCTTTCAAGGCTGCTGTTACAGATGAACAAGACTCTTCTGCTGACTCCACAGAGGGCTCGCAACTGCCACAGAGACTCAGAGAGTGGGGGTAGCTGCTACATTCGTTGTTTGTCCCAGACCTTTCAGCACTGCTTTCTGGGGGCTGTAAATCCTGAGTGGAAACAGAACTATTGAGACTTCCCAGCAAGGGGTTACATTTTGATGTTTCTACTTCCATCAGGGGGTTACCTGAAGGGAGGTCACATGCACCAATGCTCTCGGGGCTGCCTGCTGAGTTAAGTACAGCAACTAGGGACTGTTCGACTACATCTATTTCCATAAGCGTTTCTGAATCCGTGCAGCCAAAGCGTCCTGAAAGTAGGAAACTTTCTTTTGTACTTTGAAGATCCACACTCTGCTGTAGCCCATCTCCTTTCATTGTAGTTTCCAAAGATATTTCTTGTTGGTCCTGCTGCCTCTCTTCGGGAAGTTCATGAAGGTCCCTCATGTCACAAAGATGTTCTTGGTCACGTGGAGCATCATGCTGTACAGCTTCATGTGGTTCGTTCTCTGGTTCTTCGTGAGGCTGAAAGCCACTTACTTGACTCAGGTTCTGATTTTCTGGAGGCTGACTCTTTTCACCTACAGCCACCTGTGACTCATGCATCCTTGTAGCTGTGACACATAAACTAGCTTCCTGTCTTGTGTGGAGACAACATTTGAGGCCCTGGGTGCTTCTTTCAGCAGATTTCTCCAGATTATCTGTAACAACTGCTTCTTCTGATGAATTATGCAAAGGCATAGCTGGACACTGGTCTGTAGAGGAAGCAGGACCAGAAAAATCTTGCAGAGGAAGATGTTCTCTTTTTTGGGAGTTTATCTGGAATTCAGCTGAAGCTTTCAAAGCCTTCACAGCTTTAGGTTCGATGCTATCTGGGTCACTGGGCTTGGTAGGGCAGACCGAAGCAGAGACAGAGCGAGCAAGACTCGTAGGATTGCCAATCTCAGGACTCCGTCCTGAAGAAGGGGCTGGATGGTTCAATCCATCTGAAGTTGGTAAGGATGACATTCCCAGTGAGGTAGATTCTTTACCACTTTTCTCTGTAACAAAAGGGAAACCAATAAGATTAATTAAGATAAGAAACGTCACTAAATTATCAGAAACAAATTTAAACAGGATAATAAAATTGGGACCCTAGGGTCTGGGGTTGTGGCTTAGCAGTAGAGCATTTGTCTAGCACATTCAAGGAACTGGGTTTGATCCTCAGCACCACGTAGAAATAAATAAATAAAATAAAGGTATTGTGTCCAACTGCAACTAAAAAAATAAATATTTAAAAATAAAATATAATTGGGACCATAAACTTGGAATTCTCTTTTATACTCTTTTAACACTCATTATGCTAGGTCAGCGCTCAGGTCTGAAGGACACTTACTTGTCTTTATTCCAGTTAGTCTAGAACTCTAGAATCCTCAAGAGTGTTTTCTTCACCATTCACCCTAAAATTGCCTGAACACTTATTAAGCATGCAAACTCTGAGGTACCATCCTCAGAGCAGACCCAAGAATCTACATTTTCAATAAGCTGCCTAGGTGATTTTTTTTTTTGGGGGGGGGGGGTTGCGGGGGAGAAGTACTAGGGATTGAACTCGGGCCCTTGACCACTGAGCCACATCCTAGCCCTGTTTTGTATTTTATTTAGAGGCAGGGTCTCACTGAGTTGCTTAGTGCCTTGCTTTTGCTGAGGCTGGCTCTGAACTCTCAATCCACCTGCCTCAGTCTCCATCAGGGATTACAGGGATTATAGGCAGGSGTGCGTCACTGTGCCCAGAGCCCCGCTTCCCCAAGTGATTCTTAAGCACATCACGGATCTCAGGAATCCTCACACTAGAATGATTTGTGGGTCCACACACTTTTTTGTGTTTCAAATGTGAACACTGAAATTACAAAACAGAGTCCAAAACCAGGTATACTTGAGATGGAGCAGGAATTATAAAGAGAAAGCAGAATTTACATAATGCTTGCAGGCCTCCAGAATACAAAGAAGCAAATGTTCTGTTTTATTTCTAGCCAGACTCTCCCAATCATGGTAAAACTGTGTGAGCATCTGACTCAGAAAACAAAAGTAAAGAACAGACATTAAATCCCAATCATTATCCTAAGAAATACTGCAACTTTAAAAGGATCATCAGTTATCACATTAATAGAGCACAACTAAATTAAGACCACTGAAGTACATTAAGGACAGGGGATTCCCCAGGGACAGCAGCATAGGGAGATCATCGCAGTGTGTCAATAGGCAATCTAGGTTCGCTGAAATTTACTCAAGTAAGACACAGGCTTAAACACTAGCTCAAGTCAGATATCATAACACCACCATAAAGCATCAGTTTCAACCCTCCTGATGTGGATCCAGTTAAAAGTTCACCTCTATGCAGATTCTAGTACCTGTAGTTAAAAGTCCAAGGGCTGCTAAGAAGGCTGGCCACTATATGTTATATCTGGTTAGATGCAATTCAAATGATTTGGGCTGAATGTTAGCTTCTAATATGGGAGCTTAAGAAGGCAGTCATGATTCAAACAGCTTTATGTCATTCCAAATACTGGTTAACAGGAAACATAAAGCACTATGTCAGGAAGTTACTAACTTCTTATAAAACAATCTTACCTTATTTATAGTTTAGTAGTAAGCAGGAAAACATTACAATCTAGGAAGTTATTATTTTTATGAATCTAAGCAATAAGGCTGCCTCTAGAAGAAGTCCAATTTTGTACTAATGCTCACATAAAAAAGTACACTGTATGGGGACAAGGAATATGGCTCAGTGACAGAATATCTGCCTAGCAAGAATGAGTCCCTGGGTTTGATTCCCAGAACCACACATACACACAAATGCATTGCAATGAAATAGCCATATCAGCAATATGCAGCGGTATTACACAGGCCTGGTATGCACTTTTATTTCTCGMGATCCTCCTGCCTTAGCCTCCCAAGCCGCTGGGATTACAGGCATGCACCACTGTGCCCAGCATGCCAATTTTATAACCATGTGAGGTGAAGGGGAAAGCAGCCTCACTGGGTTTCATACTGACCACGAGAATGGCCCACAATCCCTCCTGAAGCTGAAATTTCAATTTCACCAGCCTAAGTAGGGAGGGATGGGCCAGGACTACAGGATGATTAGGAGAAGAGGACAAAGAAAATGGATATTAAGAATAATGAAATTATGAGGAATTTTATCCTGTTCTTACAAGGCAAGGGTTGGGAGACGGAAAGTAAATGCTATGAGTCAATTACAACCAGCCTGTAAACCTTAGAAAAGAAAGTCCTATTATATCACAAGAAATGGAAGTGGCTTGTTATTAATCCATGACCCTGGACAAGTCACTTGGCTTAAGTGTCCATTTCTTTTTCAAAGAGAATGAAAATATCTGCATGCTATAACTCCAGGTAATTATGTGCAGTATTATTCTCAGGAAAGAGACTCATGAGCTCCATAAAAACAGACATCTCCAAAGACGAATATATATACATATATATATTTTTTGGTGGCACTGGGGATTGAACCCAGGGGCACTCTACCACTGAGCCACATTCCGAGCCCTTTTTTTGAGACAGGGTTTTGGCTAGGTTGCCGAGGCTAGTCTCAAACCTGCGATCTTCCCGCATCAGCCTCCTGAGTAGATAGGATCACAGATGTGCGCCAACCAACACCTGGTGGTAGGGATAATGGACAATATACATACAAATGTCTATACAGGCCAGTTGTAAACATAACAGGGTGAAATGGTGAATGGCAGAAGCTAACTTCTAAAATTGCAGATAAGAGACTTTGAGACCACAGACATCAACTGGATGGAAGGCTGAGCACGGCGTCTGTAAATACCTGGTCTGGGCCCACTCCAGCCGCAGCACACACACCACATGCATCATGGCTTCTGACGCTCTGTTTGGATTAGGAAACAGACAAGCAAACCTGGGTTAGCACTGCAAGCTACACAGCATGCAGGGTTACAGTCTCCACGCCTTGGCCATCTTGAGACCAGGAACGAGCACAAAGTTGGGGAATGTTTCCACGGTTTGGGCATCCAAAAGATTTGCTGGCTGCTTCAATTCTCAACAGGTAAAGCCAATGTGTCAACTTCAAGATACTTTAATTGAATGTGTAAAGAAATCAATTTTACACATCTACACATAGAGAACTTCAGCAAATGTGTGAAAAGAGAAAAAAAGGAAATCCATTAGATGGAACTAGATGATAAGAAAATAGTCTCCGGGAATAAAGGTTAGTGAACATGTGTAAAAATCATTTTCCACATTTCTTAGTTGAGATTCATTTTTAGAAGAAACCAAACCTGACTTCTATCCTGACTTATCTTCTTTAATTTTCACCATTAGAAAACATTTAGATCCTACTCTAAATTAGTTTTCAATTCCTGGAAAAAAAATAAGTAGACTTTGATATAAAGCATGTATCAAAGAAACAGCTTTTCCAAAATATGTTCACCTAAAAACCAAGAGTTTTGAGGGGCCGGGGATACAGCTCCGATGATAGAGGGCTTGAATTGCATGTACAAGGCTCTGGGTTCAGTCCCCAATACCCCCCTAAAAAAATTGTTTTTGGGGGGAGTGGGGGTACAGAGGCTAAAACTAGGAGTGCTTAACTACTGAGAAACACCCCCAGCCCGTTTTTATATTTTATTCAGAGACAAGGTGTCGGTAAATTACTGAGGCTGACTTTGAACTTGTAATCCTCCTATCTCAGCCTCCTGGGCCACTGGGATTACAGGCATGTGTCACCACACCTAGCCATAATTTTGATTGTGATGATACTGGAAAATCATATTTCCAAACAAATAGGACCTGATATTACAGAATTATTTCACTAATTAAACTTAAGAAAAAATAAATATATTGTGTCTGTCTACAACTAAAAAAAAAAAAAAAAAAAAAACTTAAAAAATGACATGGATAAAAAGTGATTTCCTTTTAATTCTTTAAAATTGATACATACCCTTCACTGAGCTTAAAATATCTGTGGTATGTATTTTAATCCCCTAAACTTTTTATTAAAATAAGGAAATTACCAGAGAGGGTAATTATTACTTGCAGGTTAGAAAACACTGTTATCATCAGCTAGTATTTCTCCAATATTAGCATCATAACTATGAGAGAAGAAATGGTAATATATCCTCTCATTAAATATGGTATTATCATTAAGCTGACAAATTACGCCCCCCCCCAAATGGATAATTATGTATGTCAAACTCACTTAAGCTTACAGTGCTGGGTTTAAGAATAAAATGACTGCTTGTTGTTCAAAATTCTCCCCTTCCTTCAAAATATTTACACTGCAACTACAACTACTTTCCAGTAAAGTGTGGCAAAATCTGCTTAAATTTTAAAGTTCGTTATCTCATCCACGGGAGAAAGCTATTCCCTGAACTGATAACTCRAGTACATTTTATTCTATTAGAAAAAGCAATGAGATTAGTCATACTTATAAATTATTCTGGCTCAAGACTTTCAAATAACCCAAACTTGGAAGTTAATTCTTTTCAGCTTCTAGAAAATGAATCCCAGAGACACTGTTCCATTACAGGTGGGGATTTCAGCAAAACCATATTGTTCCATTTTACCCAGCAGTGTTGGCTCTGTCTTTAGGTTTAAACAGACTAAAACACTATAGACACTGAGAAAAAAGCATGGGTAACTTGACTACAATAGTTTATATACCGTTTTATGGCCTGACAACACCACTGTGATCTCAGAGCACAAAATGCTACATTTTGATGACTGTTCAGCTGTGATTCTCATTGCTGTTTTTTTTTTCTCTTTGGTGGTAGCATTTTCAGTAAATTTTAAAACTTAAGACTGCTTAGTCATAATGACAATGCTACTGTCCAAAATAAATGGATTAAGGAAAGAAAGTTTTAGGGAAATACTGCTGAACTTCAAAGTGTCTGTTTACTGTTATAATTTCCTTTAGGAAAAAAAGATGTCTTAAGAAGCCTACCAAAAAGTGAACTTGCTGTTTCTTGATCTGCTAACATAGAGTTTCTCTTTATTGGATAAAGAGATGGGAGGAGGCAGTAAGAAGACAGACAATAAGCACATCTAAAACTGATGGTGAGACTCATTACAAATGGAAAAGGTCCTTACCCCCACTGATACCACAAGCAATAAGAGCTTGGCCATCCAAATACCTGCATCCTCTGCTGATTTTTGAATGGCTTCTGCTAATTCCTGGTCTGCAATCTCCTCTGGCCGCACATCCTCTCGCCCAGCCCCATATGCCAACCGGGCACACTCTGGTAGCTCTCCCTCAGGAAGGAAGGTGGTCTGTGAGCCTGTGGTGCCGATCACCAGTACATTTTTCTTGAGGTCAATGGAACACTTAGGAGGAAGAAATGAAATGACCAGAGCAGATAAAACACCAAGCAGAAAAAGTATGATCCCGAATTTAAAACTCCATTCACAAAAAGCAACAAGGACAGGGAGAGATGGCTGCAAAAAACACCCTACTTTTATCTGGAAACCATTTAAATTTTAACCTTGGTGACACTGTCTGCTAAGTTAGATCTTTTTGTTTATTTTGAGATGGGCTCTTGCTATATTGCCCTGAACTTCTAGGCTCATGGAACCCTCCTCCCTTAGACTTCTGAGTAGCTGGGACTATAGGTGTGTGCCACCATGCACCATTTAGAATTCATTTTAATACTCAAAGTTTATAACAGTATAATTGTTACAGGATACACTTTTATATTTATTTGCCTTTAAAAAAATATTTGATCACTTCTGATTATAAATTGAGACCACACTATTCATAGTTTTATACATTGCTTCTTTCACTTATTATACAAATTACAGCTTGAATTCTACACCAATGGTCTCAAAAGTGATAGATGTACAAGGCGAATTTTAGAAAATATTTTTTATATGTATGCTACCCTTTTCTGTGTTGTTGCTTTGTTTTAGTTACCATACTGGAGATTGATCCAGGGGTGCTTTGCCACTGAGCCACATTCCCAGTCCTTTTAAAATTTTGAGACAGGGTCTTGCTCAGTTGCTGAGGCTCACCTCAACTTGTGATCCTCCTGCCTCAGCCTTCTGGGTCAGAGATTACAAGCATGCATCACTGTGCCTGGCCATTTCTGTCGTTGTTGTATCAACTTAACATAGGATAGTTGCACACACATATATTTATAAAATTGGAGAGTTTTGGTTTATGCTATGACTAACATACAGAGAAAGATAGTAAAAGTTAATGAATTAGGATTTATGTATATATATATATACATAATGTTAAGTCAATACGATGCAAATTCTTTTCTAGGATTTTGGGGTGTATGTGTGTGGTGTTGGGAATCTGACTCAGGGCATCACACACACTAGGTGAAAGCTATGCCACTTAACTGCACATCCAGCTGGAATTAAATTTTTAAATATTCAAAAATAACACATGAGGTACATGCCTATTATCCTAGCAACTTGGGAAGGTAAGGCAGGAGGAATACAAATCCAAGGTCTAGGCTGTCTGAAAAAAAATAATAATAGTAAGTCAAAGAAAAATGCTGGGCATAATAACTCAGTGGTAGTATGCCCCTGGGTTCAATCCCCATTACTGAAAAAAAAAAAAAAAAAAAAAGACATATTGACTACATATAAAAGCCCACTATGAAAGTTTTATTACCTAGTGAACACTATTTCTTTAATCAGGGTGAAATTATTATTCAGGCTAGAAATAAAAATATGACCATGAATTAATATATATTCAAATTATTGTCTCTATAATAAAAGAAGTTTAATCTTGACATCATCTATTGTACTTCCCTTAATTTGGAAGTTCTTCCAAGCACTATTTGATCAGCATCTAAGAATTACTAAAGATTTACTGAACTTAACACTCACAGTAAAACTTATTGAGTTCTAATCAGAATCTTGAAGCTACACTAGGAAACCAAATTGCCCATTAACATGTGAACACACACAAAAAACTCAAGATTCCCAGAGAGATTTCACAAAGACATGCTATTTCTTGGAACAACAATCAACTAAGGATTGACTTTGTGGGTATGAAAGTCACGCTTCTTGGTTTTGCCATAGAGATAATGGCCATAGAACACACAAGAAGTAGGTGCAAACAAGTTCTTCATTACCTGATGCCGTTTAAGCATGTCTAGTCCCAGAAGCATGTCCATGGGCTGCTCCTCAAGTATAGAGAAAGAACATGCCAGGAAATCACCTTCAATTTGAACCTGAGCTAAAGCACAAAGAGAACAGGTTACTGATGTTTGCTTCAAAAGACCCAGGTGAACTCTGCAAATGAACTGATCATTATGTGTTTCACATCCTGCAATCAATCAAAGCCAAGGCAAAGCATGTTAACAGTTGAGTTAGCCTGAAAATCAACTGGGCAACTTAGCAGAACTATCTCAAAAATAAAATAAAATGTAGCTGGGCATGGCGGTTCATACCTGTAATTCCAGCAACTCAGCGTCCAGGCAAGAGGATTGCGAATTCTAAGCCAGCATCAGCAACTTAGTGAGATCCTAAACAACTTAGCAAGACTCAGTCTCAAATAAATAGATAGACAGATAGATAGATATGGAAATGTGGGTCTGTGGTCAAATATCTCTGGGTTCAATTCCCAGTACCAAGAGAAACAGAAAATAAAAAAGGTATTTCTCAGATTTTAAAAAAAGAGTATTTTGCGCTACCATTAAATAGCAAGCTGTAGAATATATAAAATTTATTATAGTAGAAAGTATAATAAACACCCACATCAAGTGCAGGGCACAACTTGGGAGGCTGAGGCAGGAGGATTGTCAAGTTTGAGGCCAGCCTCAGTACTTCAGTGAGACCTTGACTCAAGTAAAATAAAAAGAGGCTGGAAGTATAGCTCAGTGATACAGTGTTCAACCAGTACCTGGGCTCAAGCCCTAGTACTGCAAAAAACTTAAAACTCAAAGTTGGGACTCACTGTCTATTCCTCTAGTTAAGAGCCTCATGTACACCCACTCACCCTCCTCACTATCCTGGCTTTGTGTCAATCATCCCCAGCTTCTCCTTGTTTTTTGCCAGTTTTGWACGTATTTCTAAGCAGCATATTATTTCCCAGTTTTGAACTAAGATTTACCTCTTTTATTTAAAAAAGGCTGGGGGGGCGGGGGCGGCTGGAGTCACGGCTCAGTGGTAGAGCACTTGCGTAGCATGTGTGAGGCACTGGGTTCGATTCTCAGCACCACATAAATAAACAATTAAAGCTCCACCGATTACTAAAAAAATATATTTAAAAAAATTTCAGGGCTGGGGATGTGGCTCAAGCGGTAGCGCGCTCGCCTGGCATGCGTGCAGCCCGGGTTCGATCCTCAGCACCACATACCAACAAAGATGTTGTGTCCACCGAGAACTAAAAAAAATAAATATTGAAAATAAAATTCTCTCTCTCTCTCTCTCTTAAAAAAAAAAAAAAATTGAGATACAGCCCAGCAGATGTGCATGCCTCCACTACTCTCACTTTCAGCCCCGCCCCCCCCAGCACCGCAAAGGCCAACAGCCCCCACTGGTGCCCTCACTCGCAGTGACTGGGCTCCTTCGGCAGCTACTGGTCTCTGCTGACCTGAGCAATGGGACTGTCACATGGTGTGTGGCCCCCTTGTCTACCTGAACCTCTCTAAAATGAATTTTACGAAGTAAAATCCCCAGGTTCTGGGGGTGCTGTGTCAACCTCACTAGGTGGTAGTGAATTATCCTCAAAAATGATTGCAGCACAATGAGCTCCTGCTGCTCCATGTTCTCACCAACATTTGATAACAGATTTTAAATCTTTGCTAACCTGGCAAGTGAATTTGTATTTCTTGTATGAATAATGAGGTTGAGCAAATTTTCACATAATCATTAACTATTTGCATTTCCTCTTCCTGTGGAAAGATAGCTGAATTTCCTGTTCAATTACTGCCATAAATGTTCCTCTTTTCTCTCCCACCAAACTGGAGAACACAGATACAAACACAAACCCTTCATTAGTTATGTTACTGAAGTTCTTTCTCAGGTTGTTCATGTTATTTGCAGTATTGCCCCTGCCCACATACTGGGGATTGAATCCAGGGGTGCTCTACCACTGAGCCACACTAGCAGCACTTTCATTTTTTTAATTTGAGATCAAACTTGCAATCATCTGCCTCAGCCTCTGTCTGGAGTTGTTGGAATTATATGCATGTGCCACTGTGCCCAGCTCAAGTTCTTAATCTTAATGTGACTAATGGAACATAGTAAATAATTTCCTTCCTATCTTTTAAAGAACTCCTTTCCTACCAAGATATCCTTCTACATTCTCTTCCCAGAGCGCTGACTTTGCCTTCCCAGCTCTATCTTTACTCCACCTGGTCTGACTTGTGTCTATGCGGTGGAGCAGGGTCCAATTTCTAATCAATTCATTTTTCCACATGAACGCCCAAATGTCCCAACAGCATTTTCTGAAACATGACCCCTGCTCTGTAAGGACATCATCTCTAATTCATCAAAGTTCAATTAAGCATGAGTATGTCCCTTTTGGTATTTTCTAGATTGTTCTAGATATCAAGTCAAAGGACTAAGACTTATTCTAGAGCATCTTGCCTTTCTTGCTAAGTAACAGGCCCACACAAAATTTAAAATTAGCATACATAATCTTATTTWAAAAATCAGGATTTGGATGTTATTGTGACTCTGTAGACAAATATGGTAATTATGATCTCCAACAGAGTGTCCTAATCCATGGGAAAGCTTTTACTTAGATTGTTATACAGGTTTTCTTTATATCTTGTCATGCTAGAATTGCAAAACAGTCCACTCACAAGGACACAAGGGACTGGTATTTATTTTGTCTCTTGGGGTACTAGAGATTAAACTTAGAAGTGCTTTATCACTGAGGCACACACCCACGTTTACTTATTCATCCATTTATTTATTTATTTGGGTGCTAGGGATTAAACTTAGAAGTGCCTTATCACTGAGGCACACATCCACCTTTTTAAAATTTATTTATTTATTTATTTATTGGAGACAGGATCTCGCTAAGTTGCTGAGGCTGGCCTTGAACTTGTGGTTCTCTTGTCTCAGCCTCCAGAGTGCCTAGGATTACAGCCGGCCTGGTATCTCCTGTTATCTTCTCACACCCATGAAAAACCTGAGAATTCAGCCTCTAAAGCAACCAACCTGTACTATTTCTGCTCAATTCTTCAGTCCTACTATGTTTAGGACATGTAAGAACAAGGCATTTAAACTCTATTCTACACAAATCAATTAAAGAAATACAAAGACCCTAATATACAGCCCATATAGTTCAAAACACAGGTTCAATTGAGCATGAAAGGAAAAGATGAACAGGAAGAAAAGCTACCATTTGCAATAAAAGTAACAATAAGAAACCACATTTTTTTTTCCAAATTTTTTTTTTTTAATTGTAGACAGGCACAATACCTTTATTTTATTTGTTTTTATGTGGTGCTGAGGATCAAATCCTGTGCCTCACACATGCAAGGCAAATGCTCTGCCAACTGAGCTACAACCCCAGCCCCAAGAAACCACCTTTTTTTATTTTATAAATTTAAGGCAGAAAATGAATAACATTTAATGGTATAAGACATTAAGATGAATATTCATAAAGTGGTGGGTAAACTAAACTGGTACAAGTTAGCAATATATGAAAAGCCTTAAGGCATACATACATACACACACACACACACACACACATATATATTTTAGGGGGCAGGTGGGTACCAGGAATTGAACCCAGGGGTGCTTAACCATGAGCTACATCCCCAGCCTTTTTTGTTTTTGTTTTTTTTTTAGTGACAGAGTTGCTAAGTTGCTTAGGGCCTCATTAAACTGCCAAGGCTGGCTTTGAACTTGAGATCCTCTTGCCTCCTGAGCCATTGGGACTACAGGTTATGCATTACCATGCCTGACTTTGCATTCACTACGTTCACTTGGTAATCTCACAGGAATTTAGGCTTAGGAAAAACACTCAAAATGTGCATAAAAATCTACTGTCATGTTATACTTAACAAAATATTGGTGTGTGTGKGGGGGGGTATATCCCAAAAGCTGATCATTTAGCCCATAACAGAAAGCTATGCACTTATTTRACTGATTCTTATGAAACTTAAAGAGTGACACTGGGAAAATGTTATGTTATTTTTTCTTAAAGCTGAGCAGAGCTGGATGTAGTGGTGTACACCTGTGCTCTTAACAATTTGGAAGTCTGAGACAGGAGCATGCAAGTTCAAAACCAGCCTCAGCAACTCAACAAGATCCTGTCTCAAAATAAAAAATAAAAAGTGCTGAGGATAAGGCTTAATGGTTAAGCTCCCCTGGGTTCAATCCCTGGTACCCACCCCCACCCCATAAAAGCTAAGCATAAAACTATATCCATTATATGACCACCTTTCACAAGCGTGGGAGGGCACAGGGCTGGGGATGTACCTCAGAGGTAGAGCACTTGCCCAGCATGTATAAGGCCCCTGAGTTCAATCCCCAGCACCTCAAACCAAACCACAACACAAAACAACTTTGGAACTGGAAAGCAGATGACAGTGAAGAAAGTGGCCCAGTTTATATCTCAGACCCTATAAGGTCAAAGGCAGCTCTGCAAACAGGCGAAGGTGGCAGAAGGAGAAGACAGACCAAGCATGAACAGGTCCAATCAACTCTTGGGATGCCTCCTGTACTCTGCCAGGCTGGTTACCTTTCACTCCACTGGCAGACTTGGGTGTATCTCCTAAAGAGGCGAAATGGGCTCTCTCAGCAGAGGTGGGTACAGAGAACAGCAAATACAAAGCAAGCAAYTAACTGGAAACCAAGAGGATGAGGGAAAGATACTAGACTGACTTTTTGATCCACTTTCAGACCATCCTTCAGTTAAGATATCAAGCACCATGGATGCCCACCCAAATAACCATTCACATAGACTGGAATGTCCCTAGAACTGAAGGAAGTGAGTTTCCAGATTAAAAAGTTCATCAAGTAGCCAGTGCAAGAGATGGACAGCCGTACCTAAGTACATCAAAAGACTCAAGTCAAAGAGAAGGTCTACAAGCTACAGAAAAAAAAAAAAAAAAGGACCAAGACCATACAGCTGCTCTTCAGCAACACCGAAAATGCTAAGGGTAAGGCACAATGTCTCAAAACTATGGACGGAAGGACTGTCTCAATTGACATTGCTTGCCTGGCATACACAAGGTGCAATCCCTAGTACAGCAAGAACAAATTTAAAAAAGGGAAAGACAYGGGATTCATGTTAATACAACACAGCAGAGGAAAAAGGATTCTCAGGACACGATCAAGAGAAATTCCCAAGCAACAGCCATGGAGCAGGTCTAGAACCATTATCCAGGCTTTGAAAGAAGTGTACAGAACACTTGCATAATGAGGAAGTGTCTGGAGATGAGTGGTACATAACAAATAAAATGACACTTCCCAAAAGGACAATTAGTAATTCCAAGAAAAAAAAATACTACACATAAAAAAGAAAAGCAATTATATTTAGTCAGTCTACCTCTCAAAAGCGTTTGCATAGTCATATCAGTAAACAGCAGTATAAACCCACTATGTAGAAATACGGAGGTAAACTCAGGATGCTGAAGCTGAGGCAGGAGGATCTCAARTTTGAGATAAACCTCAGGAATTTACGGAGGCTCTAAGCAATTTAGTGAGACCCTGTCTCAAAATAAAAAATAAAACCCGCAGGGGATGTGGCTCAGTGGTAAAGCAACTCTGAACTCAATCCCCAGTACAAAAAAGAAAAGAAAGATGGGAGAGGGAGGGGGAGGGGGAGAGGGAGGGGTGGGGGTGAGGGGAGAAATAGCCAAAACAATAGGGGTGAATACCTCTGGGGAGCAGGAAAGCAGGAAATACAAGTGTGTAGTCTAGTTTTTTGGTAACCGATGAAAACATGTACATATAATCTCGGTAAACACAGGATTCAGGGGAATTAAAGCTTGCTGAATCCAATGTACCCAAGAAAGATAGTTTGTCCAAAATCTTAAAATCGTTCTATACATACCCTACAAAAATACAGCAACACCCAAGCAGCTTTCACTCACCTAGATGTACCCTTCCAATAATTTTCTGGGTGCCCACTCCTTTGGCAATCCCTGCCCACCGACGGTCCACCAGCCTCATTATATTACACCTCTCCGCACAAGCCTGGCTCATTATGGTCATCTGGGCACCTGAAGGGGGAGAGAAAAACTGATTAAAAAAAAAAAAAAAAAAAAAAAAAAAAATCCATATTTGTGGTAAGATTCACAATACAGCACTATGAACAAGGCAGAAGAAGAAATTGTCATTTGCAAGAAAAATGAATAAAATTTGAGAATATGTATTTAAGCAAAATAAGCCCAAGTCAGAAAGTCCAGGGTCATGTTTCTCTCATATGCAGACGCTAGAAAGGAAAAAAGAAAAGAAAGGATCTCATGAAAATCAAAGCTAGACCAGTGGAGGAAAGGATCCAGAGGGAGGGAAGGAGGGAGGAGGACCAGGGGAAATACTTGGGAATGAAACTGATCAAATTATATCGTCCTGTCATGTGTATTGGTAACAACGAATCCCACTGTTTTTAATCAATAGAGAGCTGGGGTTATGGCCTAGTGGTAGAGCACTTGCCTAGCATATGTGAGGCCCTGGGTTCGATTCTCAACACCACAGGTAAATAAATAAATAAAGGTCCATCATCAAAAACAAACTAACAAAACTTTATCAATAAAAAGCAAAAACTACCGGGGCTAAGGTTGTGGCTCGGCGGTAGAGCGCTCGCCTCGCATGTGTAAGGCCCTGGGTTCAATCCTCAGCACCACATACAAATAAATAAATAAAATAAGTATATTGTGTCTAACTAAAAAAAAAAAAAAAAAAAAAAAAAAAACTACCTAGAAAGGGCCTCCTAAAAGCTCAAACCATGACTACTATTTCTATAAACCTAAATGATAAAATACCACTAACAATTTTCATGAAGCCTCCCTCCTTTTATTTTGGAGGCACTGGGGATTGAACCCAGGGGAGCTCAAACACTGAGCTACCCCTCTATCCCTTTTAATTTTTTATTTTGAGATAGGGTCTTGCTATCCTCTAGCCTCAGCCTTGCAAGTTGCTGGGATTACAAGTGTGCACCACTGTGCCTAGCTTCACAGAGTATTTCTAAGCATTTTATCACTTTATTTTTATTTCAAATGTTGGGACACTAAAGCTCATCAACAAAAAATACATCCTCGGCTGGGGTTCAGTGGTAGCACACTTGCCTGGCATGTGTGAAGCACTGGGTTCAATTCTCAGCACCACATACAAATAAATAAGTCTATCAACAACTTAAAAAAAAAATATATATATATATATCCTAAGGCTAGGGATATAGTTTAGTGGTAATAGTACTTGCCTAGCATGCTGAAGACCCTAGGTTTGATCTCCACTAACACACACGCACGCACACACAAAACCAACCAAACAAAAAAAACCCCAAAACACACTAACCCGAAAAACTATATTATTCCAAGAAACAGAAGTGAAGTCCTCATTCTGTGGGCACAAATCAGGCCTTCTTCCTGTTAAAGTTGAGGCCATTTAGGGTATCTTCTCCTGTATGTATAGGTATTTAGCTGAAGTTGGCCCATATAAAAGACAACTTCCCAGGGCTGAGGTTGTGGTTCAGTGTAGAACGCTCACCTAGCACATGTGAGGCACTGGGTTACTGGGTTAGATCCTCAGCACCACATATAAATAAATAAATTAAATAAAGGTATTAAAGACAACTTCCCCAATTTTCACCTATAATCCTAAAATCTCCCTTGAACTATATAGTTCCATATTCTTATGTGTTGGACATGTCTATCTCAGAGCCAAAAGGTATAAAATTTTTCTCCCTGCAAATAATTCTCACTTTGGATTTCTTTTTCTTTGCAATGAAATCATTTCCTTGTAGTCCTAAAACCTGGACAGAACTCACTGTTGATTTCTCCCATGTTCCCTCTGCTCTCACACTCTGTCCTAAACATATAAACAAATAAATTCTATTTCTGACCTTTCCCTTTATTTTATTATCATTTTTTTTGTAGTTGTGTATGGACAGCATGCTTTACTTTATTTTTATACGGTGTTAAGGATTGAACACAGTGCCTCACAAATGCTAGGCAAGCACTCTGCTGTTGAGCTACAGCCCTAGCCCCAACCTTTCCCTTTCTAACCATAGCTATTGACCTAGCTCACACCCTCTCCTCTTGAAAGTGGACTGCCTCTCTGGCTTCCAAACCACTCTGTGGATGTGTAGTTTAAAGCACGGAAATGACCCTTAGGGGGTACAGATTCTCCAGATCTGTCTCCGCCTTCTATTTTACTAAACTATCACCTTCAAATCACTTTTTCTCTCCCTTTTTAGTAGTCCTCAATGGTTTCTGCTCTGCATTAGACTGTCAAACCACACCCCAGTGTTTCTATCCAAGTCTTGCACTGCCCCTCCCCAGGTTGTCAGGAGCAGGACCGTGATCCCTTTGCCTCTAGCTCCCTTGGGTCCCTACCCTGCTACCTCCAAGGCCCAATTCAAGACCTACTTTCCCCTAAGCAACTCCACGTCTCATTCAATCGAGCACATCTGTTCAGTTCACCCATTAGAACCCTACCCCTGACTAGCACGGAAAGCTCCTGGCATTTGAGAAAGACAAGACTCAACAAGGCCTAGAAATAGTCAAGAAAGAGAAATTTTAAGAGGGCAATCCTTTTTATTTCCTCCTTCCTCACCTTACTTCAAAATAGTTAATTATTAATTAATTAAATAGTTACAATAATTAAAGTAAGCACTCCAGGGTGAATGCCCCTTTCCTTGCTCTCCTGCCTCTTCCCACGCTTCAGCTTAAACATCCTCTCTTTGGGAATATGCTCTGCACGCTCYAGTCAGAAGGAGAATGTGATCTTTATGCCCACCCAACACTCAGCTGGCTTGGCGCAATGGTGAAGAGTTCTCGCAATAAGCAGACCTAGGCATGAATCACACTCCACCACACATCAACTCTGCATGCCTGGAAGAGGACTTTACCTCTCCCAGCCATTTCCTTTCTGAAAAACAGGAACACAACTCTTGGTATGGTCTGAAGATGAAAGACAATGGCCTGATGGTACTCATGAATAGCTGGCTTGGCGCTTGGCACAGTACAGATGGGTGGTAAAGCAGGATCCCACGTGGGTTTCTCTCTTGCACTCACACCGGAGCCCTCTGAACCCTAGTGAGTAAGTCTTCCCACCGAGCACTCAGCACAGGCACTTTATCTCTAAAGCCCAATCATTAGATTTACTTCTCAAAGGGCGCAGTGGCTCATGCCTGTACTCTCTTGGGAAACAGAGGGAGGAAGATCACAAGTTCACCCTAGTCTCAGCAGCTTTGCAAAGCCCTAAGCATGAACCTGTCTTCATCGAGACCCTGTCTCTAAATATAAAAATGGGACAGGGATGTGGCTCAGCTGTCAATTCCTAGTAACACCCCCCCCCCCGCGAAAAACAAAAACTCCCAAGAATGTTTGCATCTCAAGACACAAACTCATGACCACAGCTAAAGCAAAGTATATGCTCAGGGTCTCTGGTGAACAAAGGGAGGCCACTCATCTGAGCAGGGACTTCTCTGTTCCAGGACTTGCCCTACTCTACAGCCTGAAGTGAAACACAGGAACCTGGATGCCCAAGACACTTGGTCACACCCCAGGGGGCAGTCACAGTGTGCTCATGCTAAAAAGCAAAGAGTTACTATTGGGAGAAGAGGTGCCAATTAATACATAAACTACCTTCAGCCTTGAGAGGCAAGCTCCCTTTCCTGCCTGGCCGCTAAGTTCTGTACCCTGTTTGGCCTGATACTCCTCACAGCTCCTCCCCAGGTGCTGGCACACAGACCAGGTTGAAATATTTTTGACCTATACCTTACACAGCTCCTCCCTGCAGCTCCTTATTCTAAATCTATTACTCCCAATTTCTTATAGAATTACCTGAGAAAATTAGGGGTGCTAAATAAGGGGAGGCAGGAAGATAAAGGAGACACTGCAAAATAGAAAACTGGTTAAGAAGCAATTTAATAAATGATCTGTGTAAGCAAACACTCSAGGTCAGATCAGGATGTGGGGGCACTGAGATACAAAAGATGGAGCTGTCACCTGAGTCAACAAAGGCTTTCACAGGGTGTCCGTTCACCTTGCAGTTGATATAGAGCATCACTACTTGGCCAAAGCTCTCCGGAGCCTCTTCCATGGCTATGGTCATGTTCTCCTCAATGTTCTGTTGCCTGTAACAAACCAAAACCAGGCAAACTGAAGCACCGTTTCCAAGAAGAGAGATCTGTTTCAAAGTCACGATGTTAACAACAGGTTTGTACATGTCTTCTGCGCTAACTAGAGCAGCTGAGTCATGGGATAGAAACTGGTGTTCTATCCTACAGAAGGGTTTAGTAGGAGGTGATGAGATCTGCAGCGGGCAGAAAATCTAAAGGCACCAAAATTACCCTCACGTAAAACAAATATGCTCAAAAGTAGGAAAATAAACTTCTGGAGGGCAGGGTCATGACCATCTTTGTACTGTACAATGTTAGAATTTCATAAAAGCTCCAATTTTCACGGAGGACTTACTGGGCAGTAAATACACTCCCCGTACCCAGCCCATTTAACACACTACACCCAACACACAGGTACTTCGACTGTCTGAACTGTACTGGCTGTGTACACCCAACTCTATCTATAAAATGAGAATAACGATAATTTCCTCCCATCACAGGGGCTGAGACGGGTAAAGCAACTAGTGGTGGAAGAGCAGATGTTCAAAACATGCCTCTATCTATTGCTGAAAACTGCATATACTTACTACGGGTTCACCAGGCTCATCAAATCATTTCTTTAAAAATTCAGCGTAACTAATTCTTATACAAGAGAAGCATGTAAAAGGGAGTCACGGCTCACTCCAGCAACTCCCAACTTCTTCCTACAAGTACTACCAAATGCCACCAGGTCAGCAGTTGCACAACTTACCTGAAGAAACAACAGGGTCTAAGATTGGTGATAAACTACACTGTCAACCATGGGCTGCCAAACTGCAGCCCAGTATCAGTTTGAGTTAACACATTTTTATGTGAACACAGCAACACCATGCATTTTACATGCTGACCCACTGTCTATGGCTGCTCTTAAACGGCAGGGGCAGAGCTGAGTCTAGGCTCAGAGATCGTATGGCCGACGAAACCTAAAATATTTACAACTAGTCCTTTATGGAAAAGTCTGCTGACCCTTGCTCCAACCTACAATACTTGTCCTTTCTGTGATGACACTCCAGCTCAACTGAGCTGACTGCTTAATCAGCTGTCCTATAATAAAATATTAAACTTCCCAGAAAGTCAAAGGCACCCTTGTTTAATTTAGTTAGGCAAATAAGAAGGCTATTACAGCTCAGCGTACACATACCCTATGTGACATGCCAGATAAAACTTTAATAGGCATTTGATATAATTACATAGATTTTATCCTGCTGCTCATTATTAATTTTAGAAATAACCTAAAATTAATTGTGTACCCTGATCCTGAATTGACTCCAATTCCAATTTAAGTTTCAGCAAAAAATCCTCTAAGATAATACCAGTTACTTTGGCTATTCTGGGTTCTGTATATGAAGAGCTTCTTCAGAGGAACAAGGTTTTCTCCTTTCAAGAATGGATGCATTACTCAGTTTCCTTTACCCCACCCATGGAAGGAAACATGAGCCATATGGACATGCTCCATTTCACTTCTGTTCTTCAACAGCTCAGTATTGTAGTTTGCCTATGACGCCTTCCCACCCCTTCTGCTTCCTGGGCTATGCGCAACTAGTCTTGACCCGCCAGGTCTCCCTTATAGCTTCAGTGCAGTATCTTCTATATTGTGCTCTCCCTGGGTAGCTTTACTAGTGAGATATTTCTCAAAGATGCTTACTATCACTCTCTCAGACAATTAACAGAAATCAACAAGAACATGAATGAATAGCTCAGAACTATCAACTGATTTTGGCACACAATTCACATTTCTTTGATTTCAAGTGTAGTCAAAGAAATAAGAAATAAAAAAGCATTATTTGACTTCCAAGCAACAGAAATACAAAAACCAAGTTAGGCCTCATTTAAGTGATCAAAGATAAGAAAATAGCCCCATAAAAGCCGCTATCCTACACAGTCTAACTGGCATACTGGTTCAGTTATGTTCTTCATACTTAAACTAAGACCTTTATAATTAGTAACATAAACTAAATTGGTGGGGAGGCTCAGCTGTTCTTCTATTCAAATAGCACCTTACTTGTGACTAGTGATGTGCCATGGCTGGCACTAGCAGACTGCACTTGCTTAGGCTCCACTCCTGAGGAATTCTGATCCATTAGAAGGGCCCATGCATCTGCATTTTTAAAAGCGGCTTGTGTGCTTCGATGCAGTCCAAGGTGAGGACCACTGCACCATAGAACTGGAGCTAGAAGTGAGTCCGGCTGTCAGCTAATTGGCCAGCACAAGAACAGCAAAGGAAGACGGACGAACAACAGGGCCCCACCGAGCAGAGCTATCTTGTTAATCCAATCATCTTCAAGCCCTGAATTTAATCAGGACACACACAACATGTCTAAGGAAAAAAATCAAATCAGCCTCTGTAATCAGCCTAGCTGTCTCACCAGATGGGGTTTCTACTTAGTCCTGGGGTCACCAACCTGGAGCTGAATCTATCTTATGTGCTAGTCCGCTATCTTTGTAACACTTCTTGGAAAAAATGAAAGTCATTAAGTTAGACACCTGGACCTTTGTAATGTTGGATCAAAATGTGAGGAAAATAGAATTACCTAAAAGACAGGTTATTATCTCAACTTTGAAACAGGGAAGCTACCTCCAAGCAGATGTCCAGCCAATGCCAGATGTCCTGCAGTGTGGGAAACCTGGATGCTCTGAGGCTTGCTCTTAAGGTGAACAGATCATTACCTTATATCTTCTTCTATCTTTGCCTGAGCTTCAAGATCAAAGGGGTCAGCAGAAAAGAGACGAATTCTTTCTTGTTCTCTCCGGGCTCGGTCTTGCTGCTGCTCTACTAGAACCCTGGAAAATTTGTCTTCAAAAATAAGGGAGAAAAAATCTTAAGCTGCACTCTATTTGCATTATTTACCAGTAATTTCCCACACCAATTTTTTATTTGAGTGGTACTGGGAAGTAAACCCAGGGTTGCTGTACCACATAGCTATATCCTCATCCATTTTAAGATAGTGGTCTTGCTAACTTGCCCAGGCCAGTCTTAAACTTGTGATCCTCCTGCCGCAGCCTCCTACGCAGCTGAAATTACAGGTGTGCGGCCACCATATCTAGCCCACACTAAACAATTTCTCAAAATTCAACTGTAAAAGATGTGAACAGAGGGGCTGGGGATATAGCTCAGTTGGTAAAGTGCTTGCCTTGCATCCCCTGGGTTCAATCCCCAGGACCACACACACACACACACACACACACACACAAACACACACAAAAGACATGGACAGGATTCGTAAAAATTTTCTGAGGGCTGGGGATGTGGCTCAAGCGGTAGCACGCTCGCCTGGCATGCGTGCGGCCCAGGTTCGATCCTCAGCACCACATACAAACAAAGATGTTGTGACCACCGATAACTAAAAAATAAATATTAAAATTCATTCTCTCTCTCTCTTTAAAAAAAAAAATTTTAAATGAGCATTTTCTTTCTAATTTCTGAGGCATCACTGTTTTCTTCATTTAAATTCAGTACAAAGAAACAGTATTTTCAGATGAGTGTGATAGTGCACACCTGCAATCCAGTGACTTAGGAGGCTAAAACAGAAGAATCTCAAGTTCAAGTTCAGCCTCAGCAACTTAGTGAGGTCCTGCCTCAAAATATAAGTTAAAAAAAAAAAAAAAAACTGGCTCAGTAATAGAGTACCTAGGGTTCAATCTCCAGTACTGTTAAAAAAAAGAAAAAGGGAAAAAACAGTATTATCAAAAACCTTTCATTTTTATAACAAGTTGCCCATTGTGTACTGTTTCTACTCAGATAACTTTTAAATTTAGCCAGTAAGGAATGACTATCTGAATGGCACATAAGTGTCTCCAAGCCTCCCTGCCCACTGTCCTCATTATCCTGTTACCTAAGAAAAAAACAGAGCACTCTATAATCCCCTTTCTCCTTTTCTATCTTCATTTCCTTTGTAACACTGTGCCTTAGGCCAGATAAATTGAGTGCAAACCAATGTTAGTCTACCAGTATTTTGTGTGTACTGATGGGGAAAAAGTAGGAAAATTAGCAAATGGAAAACAAAACAAAAAAACTACTGCTTGCTACAACAAGATGTAAGTATTTTGCCATTTTTTAAATGGTGGTGCATGAAATGTATAAACTTAAATGTGCTATCACCATCGTCTCTGGTCTCTGGCAATTAGGTATGATAACCAAAGAAACCAAGGTCATGGTCATTTGAACTATTAGCACACACAATGCGGCCAAATCCAAGAATTCAGTGAAGTAAAAAGCTAACTAACACAAAGGGGTCTGGGGATGTGGCTCAAGCGGTATCACGCTCGCCTGGCATGCATGCGGCCCGGGTTTGATCCTCAGCACCACATACAAACAAAGATGTTGTATCTGCCGAAAAACTAAAACTAAAAAAATATTTAAAAAAAAAAAATTCTCTCTCTCTCTCCCTCTCCTCTTAAAAAAAAAAAAAAAAAAAACTAACACAAAGGACCATACACGCTATGATTACATATATAGCAAGTTCAAAAATATACAAAACCAATCTATACTGAGTATCCATTGCAGCCTCCGGGGGAGGAAAATGTCTAGAAGGGAACATAATGGAGCTTTCTAGAGTGAACGACAAGTTCCGTATCTTATTGGGGTTACATAGCTTGTCAAAACACAATGAATTAAAAACTTCAAATCTGTGTACTTCTCTGTAAGTAAACGCCACCTCAACTGAAAAATAATCAATTGAGGAAGGAGTTATTTTGGTGTCCTAAACTAAAAGCTCTTCGGCTGGGATAAGCTCACTTCCTGGAGATCTTGAACTTGAAGATCTAACTGAGTAGGTCAAAATATCAGAACCTGGCTCAGCTGCTGCTAAAACAATGAGAAACAAAGTAGAGACCAGTTCAGAGGGTCTCAGTTCTAGAGCCTACTACTGCCCTTCACCCAACCTCGAACACTAGCACTGATTCACACCTCACACAAGACCACCAATATGGCCAACTAATCACCTCACCTGCAACCCTCCACACGTAGAAGCTTACCAAGATCTCCACTGAGCAGCGCCTCCGCCAGGGGCGGGTTGCGCTCCTTCAGCAAGGACAACTCGTGTGGGTTGGCCAGCAGCATGTCTCGTAGCAGGGCAGGGTTGTCCAAGCCCTGAGGAGAGGATGTCGTTTCTCCAGGAGATGAGTGGGGCTGCTGTGCTCCTTGGGGCAGGCGCTGCCGGGGGCTCGATGTGCCAGGCACAGCTATACTACTGAAGTCTATCCGGGGTAGGTCTGCTGCAGGAAGAAAATCAAAAAACCAATCACCTTTATCCAAATGACTCCAAAAAACAAGTACTTAAAGGAAACAGTCAATACTTGCTCAAATGTGGTATGCAGTGGCCAATGGTAATGGCAGACAGGAATGGATTTCCCCATTGTTCTTTCTCACTTGGAATCTCACTAAGAGTCAACCAACAATATAATTACATAACTCTGGATGTGGGTCTTGAGAAAAATCCTAGTCTGCTTTAACATGCTTCAAAGATTTCTGCCACTTGAGGTAGAACACTATACATACCAAACGAACCGCATAAACACTGGATGCTAAACTCTGCAAGTCTGTGTTAAATACATTGATTTGGGGAAGTCCCTCCAACCTACCCTAGGAATTGAACCCAGCAGCACTCTACCATTGTGCTATATGCCCGGTTCTATTTTTCTTTTCTTTCTTTTTTTTTGAGACTGAGTCTTCCCTAGGTTTCAAGGCTGGTCTCAAACTTGCAATACTCCTGTCTTTAGCCTCTAGAGTCACTGGCATTAGAGACCTGAGCCACTATGCCCAATGGAAGAGCTCTTAGTAGTTCTTTGAATTTATACACTCATCTGTACATCACCATTTACTCTTCTCATTATCTTGGAGCTAGTGGGTACAATCACTTTATAGGAGAGAAAAACTGAAGAAAAGGAACTGCACAGGCTCTTGTTGATGGGTCCACCAAAAGCTGTCACAGGTTTAAAGACTACAATTCCCAGGTGCTGTACTCTAGGCTGAGCTGATCTTATTAAAAAGAAAGAGCAGGGCTGGGGCTAGGACTCAGTGGTAGAGCTCTTACCTCACATGTGTGAGGCACTGAGTTCAATTCTCAGCACTCCAAACAAATAAATGAATAAAATAAAAATAAAGGTCCATCAACAACTAAAAATTATGTAAAAAAAAAAAAAAAAAGTGCAGAAGTCCTATTCCTTACACAAAAGACCTACACATTGCACAAAATGTTCAGAAAGAGTAAGTACAAAGAGACAGAAAGCAGACTTGTGGAGCATCCGGAAAATATGAAAGACTGCTAGTAAGTACAGGTGATAAAAATGAACTAAAATTACTTGTAGTGATAGTTGCACAACTGTGAATATACTAAAAACCACTGAATTGTATCCTTTAATGGGTGGATAATATGGTATATGAATTATAAAGCTGTTATAAAAAAAGAAGAAAAAGGAAAAATAAATAAGCAGAGCTAGAATGGGCAACAAGCTTGAGTAAATATACATTTTTCAATTTTTTTTTTTTTTTTTTTTTTTTTTTAAAATTTGAGGCAGGGTCTCACTAAGTTGCCAAGGCTGGTCAGGAACTTTCGATCTTCCTGCCTCAGCCTGCTAAGTTGATGAGATTACAGGTAATTGCCACCACATCTAGCTCCTCCCAGAATATATTTAATGGTCAAACTTGTCCAAATTCTGGCGCAAAAGGACCTCAAATACAAAAAAGGACAGGTTAAACTCAGGCCTAAAATTTTGGCCTTGCAGTATGAGTTCAACAAGCTACTGTCTTCAAATAGACTTCAACTGATGCATATTTTGGAGAGAGAGACAGACACAACAACTACTGAAAACAAACAGCACAATCTCTGTGAGGTCACTAATCTACATCAACTAGAAAAACATATGGAGGGGCCTTCTTGGCAGGTCAAGAAATTTTATCTCTACCCCCCATTACACGTTATCTTGAGAGTCCACTCACTTCAAAACTATTCTGAAAAACTTGTTTACTTTGTAAACCAGATCCCTCCCACTAACAACATATCGACTATCTTGTCCACAAGGAAACAACACAGAAAAAAAACAGTGACTCTCCAGTACTAACAACCTCAACAAATTAACCAAAGAAAGATTTGGTTTTTGTTGATTAGCATACTTGAACCACTACTCTTTGTAAAGTTTAGCAGTAGCCCCAAGGGACTAATGCAATCCAGATCTGAAGAAGTCAGTGCTTAATTGTCTTACACAGCTCCAGTTTCAGGCTGAATGGAAGCACTGTGTTCCAGGCTGAGTCTCATCACCCAAGACTCCTATCATATGTTACCATAGACTTTAAAACCAAGTGACCTGCTGGTTAACACTGTTTAGAGAATGGTGACAGAATATGGCAGAGAGTGGAAAAAAACAGTACCTCCCAACAAGCAGTTAGACACAAGGATCTAATAAACATTTTGTGGATCATGAGTATCTAAGGAAACTATGGATCTTCTCACCACTGAAAAAATGTTCAGGTGGACACCCACAATTCTGCCTGTTATTTCAGGGACACAGAAATCTCCTAAATCTAAATGCAGACAGCCAAGACACATAACAATTTCTTCTCAAATGATTAATACAGTTCTGGTATGAAAGAATCAGAACTTGGGCTGGGGATGTGGCTCAAGCGGTAGCGCGCTCGCCTGGCATGTGTGCGGCCYGGGTTCGATCCTCAGCACCACATACCAACAAAAGATGTTGTGTCCGCCGAGAACTAAAAAATAAATATTAAAAATTCTCTCTCTCTCTCTCTCCTCTCTCACTCTCTCTTTAAAAAAAAAAATAAAAATAAAAAATAAATTCTCTCTCTCTCTCTCCTCTCTCACTCTCTCTTTAAAAAAATATTACATCAGAAGTCTGCATCTAGCATTTATGCAATATAATAAAAATTAAAAAAAAAAATGAAAGAATCAGAACTTGATGGTTCAGCTGCTTAAAGTTTACCAAGTCTGGTATAATGGAAAAAGCACCACATTTTAATTCCTGTGTCTTCTGCTTACTAGCTATGTAAAATATAAGCTTCTTCTGTTGATGAAAATTGTACAGAGAGACCACAACCAAGTTCTATGAGTGCATATGAAGCATGGATGCCAATTCCTGCCTGGCTATAAGAAGCTTCACAAAGGCAGAACACTGTTGGCCAGACACAGAGCAGCAAAAGAGAACTGGAATGACAGGTACATAGTCCCAAATTCCTCCCAGGATAAAGACTATCATCATTGGCAGCAGAATAGAAATTATGATTGATGTATGTACATTCCATGTATGTATTATATGTCAAAATACATTCTGCTGTCATGTATATGACTAAAAAAATAAATCATATGGTTTAAAAAATCCAATCAAAGAAAAAAAAAAAAAGACTATCATCATCACTGATAACAATAGAAGCAAACATTTACTGAAGGCTTGCTACGTGCCAAAGGTGTTATTCTCACTTCAGCTCTAAGAGCTAGAGTTAAGTAATTATGGCACCTTTATTATAGAAGAGAAAGCCAAATTAGAAGTCAAACCACGTCCAAGGTTATAAAGAAGCAGAGTCAGGATCTGTACCCTAGTAGTCTGGCTCCATGATAAACCCCAAACTCAGAACCACTATACTCTGCTAACTACTGTTGCTCACATGAGGGGATGCTAGACAGGAGGCGCCATCTTACTTGGGAACTGCACTGAAGGCCGAGGGTCTGCATTCTCCTTCTGTCGTAAAATCACAACGTCCCCATCTTTCAAGCCGTAAGACGCCAATGATCTGTGGTTGTCTGTGAGAGGCCTTTCAGCATAGACGATCTATAACAAGAAAAGATTGAGCAGCATAAAGCACTGGAAAGTAACATGGTGCCAAGCAAAGGACCACCCTTCCCATGCAAACCCTCTGATGGTTCTCATCCCACCTAAGAGGAAATCTGAAGGCCTTCCTGTCTGTCCCCTAGCAGGCCTTGGGCAGTCTGCCCTTACCTCATGCAGAGACTGCTATTCCTCAACAGGGTCTACTGTCCCTTAGGGCTGTTCCACTTGTTCCTCTCTCCCTTCACTATTTTAGGTCTTGGATAAAATATTACATCTTCAGAACTCTTCCCTAGTACCCTGTATAAAATGGACCCCACCATAGGCTGGGGGTCTAATTAAGTAGCAGAGTGCTGGCCTAGCATGTGTAAGCACCACAATAAATAAATTTTTGAAATAAAATGTACTGTCACCTAATATACTATTAATTTGCTTTCTTGTTGTCTTTCTGTTCCACTAAAATATAAGCTACTTGGAAATGACTTTGCTTCATTGACCATATCACAAATGCTTAGAACAGGGTCTCTTCTACAACCGATGTTCAAATATTTGAATTAAAAGATGAATTGCCTTTGAGATCCTGACCCCTCCCCTTGTTAAGATGGTTTGTAAACCCTAATTTCTAGCCAGTCCTTTGAGTCACATTTTTCTGTGAATTCAAGCATACCCACAGGAATAAAAAAAAAAAAAAAAAAGATGAATTGGGGCAGTGGCTGTGGCTCAGTGGTAGCCCACTTGCCTGGCATGTGTAAGGCACTGGGTTTGATTCTCAGCACCACATACAAATAAATAAAGGTCTATCAACAACTAATTTTGTTTGTTTATTGATTGATTGTGGTGCTGGAGCTTGAACCCAGGCCTTGTGCATGCAAGGAAAGCACTCTATCAACTGAGCTATATATCCAGCCCCAACAAGTAAAAAAATATTTTTTAAAAAGATGAATTTATAAAATAATGAATGTAATTTTAATTCTGAGCAGGAAGAAAACTGGAATTATGTATTCTCTTTTTTTTTTTTTAAAGAGAGAGTGAGAGAGGAGAGAGAATTTTTAATATTTATTTTTTAGTTCTCGGCGGACACAACATCTTTGTTGGTATGTGGTGCTGAGGATCGAACCYGGGCCGCACGCATGCCAGGCGAGCGCGCTACCGCTGAGCCACATCTCCAGCCCCCGGAATTATGTATTCTCAATATGCTAACCATAGTACTATTAAATAACATGTACTTTTTTTTTTTTAAAGAGTGAGAGAGAATTTTATTTTTTAGTTATCGGCGGACACAACATCTTTGTTTTGTATGTGGTGTTGGGGGTTGAACCCGGGCCGCACGTATGCCAGGCGAGCACGCTTCTGCTTGAGCCACATCCCCAGCCCCACATGTACTTGTGTGTGTGTGTGTGTGTGTGTGTGTGGTGCTGGGGATTGAACCCAGGACCTAGTGCATGCGAGGCACACATTCTACCAACTGAGCTATATCCCTAGTTCCATCACATACCTTTTTAAAGTGACTTGTACACTGGTAAGTCTAAAAAGTTCTCAAATACCAGTTTTCCTGCATTCTTTCATCTCACCATCCCCAAAGTTTTATTATAAATATTTTTATGTTTATAAGGGAAAAATAAAAAAGTGAAAAGAAATTCAAAAAGAACAATTCAACATAGGTGGAAAAAAAATCATGTTTTTAATGATATATAAATCAACATTCAAACACTGAAGGCAAAGGTAGCAGGGTGCAGTGGCACAACTCAGGAGGTCAGGGCAGATGGATTTTAAGTTCTAGGCCAGCCTGGGCAATACAGCAGGACCCTGGTTAATATAAAGTGAAAAAGGGTTGGGGATGTAGCTCAGGGACACAGCATTTTCCTAGCATATACAAGGCCCTGGGTTCAGTCCTCCACACAACAAACTAACAAAATAAAATCTTTTTTTTTTAATATGTAAACTTTATTGTTTCACTGAGGCATTGTTTTTTTTTTTTTTTTTAAGAGAGAGTGAGAGTGAGAGTGAGAGTGAGAGAGAGAGAGAGAGAGAGAGAATTTTAACATTTTATTTGTTAGTATTCAGCGGACACAACATCTTTGTTGGTATGTGGTGCTGAGGATCGAACCCGGGCCGCCAGGCGAGCGCGCTACCGCTTGAGCCACATCCCCAGCCCAAAATAAAATCTTGAAAGCACAAAAAATATGTTGTGAAAAAAAAAAATGGACACACAAAAGCATACTATAATAAAACCTGTCCTGCATTATAATACTCCAAAGAGGCAGTCAGAATAAACTGGGGCTTTGAAAGGTTTTCTCCTTACAGATCTACTTTACACTGGCCCACATACAAACTGAGGAATTTAAGTTTTCCCCTGGCCCTGCCAATAACCAAAGGGCCTGCCACTCAGCTGGTACAGGCTTCCCATTACCCATTTGTCAGGCAAGCAGCTGGGCTAGATAATCATTACAGCTGTCCCTTTCACTTCTTTCTGCTACACTATCATGCTACAATGCTCCCTCACCTCTTCTCAAAGCTCTCCTCATAAAATTACCTGGCACAGAAACTAAAGATACAACATTTAAGCTAGATGCAATAGCACATGCCTTTAATCCCAGTGACTTGGGAAGCTGAGGAGGAGGATCATGAGTTCAAAGCCAGCCTCAGCAAGTTAGAGAGATCTTAAACAATTCAGCGAAAGCCTGTCTTTTAAATACAATTTAAAAAAAAAGTAGGAAAAAAGGGCTCCAATGGTTACATGCCCCTGGGTTCAATCCCGAGTACCAAAAAAAAAAAAGAAAAAAGATACAGCATTTAAACCAGAGTTGGGGAGTGATTCTGTCTTATCTGCTCTCAGAACTGTGCTGAGCAGAAGAACTAACCCTCCATAATCAAACTCTTCTAGGGATAAGTGAAAAAACTCATTTGCAGAACTTGAGGTCCAATTATACTTCATATGTTTCACACATGAATAAATACTGTGAGTCTTACCTTCAACCTGAAGAGTAAGACTCCTTAACAGACTGTGACTGTCACTATCACCCTGGGCATATGCCTCACATCTCACAGTAAAAGTACATCAAGATCAATACATCGGGGCTGGGGATGTGGCTCAAGTGGTAGCGCGCTCGCCTGGCATGCGTGCGGCCCAGGTTCGATCCTCAGCACCACATACCAACAAAGATGTTGTGTCCGCCAATAACTTAAAAATAAATATTAAAATTCTCTCTCCCTCTCTCTCTTAAAAAAAAAAAAAAAAGATCAACACATCGTTTGCAATACAGCCAAGAGTCCTATTATAATTTGTGTGGCATGAAGAAACCACTGTAAGTCAGAAGTGACAAGTGTCATGGGTGAGGTATGCAATAAGGAAGAGGTTACCAGAGATATGCTCCATAGTCAGGCTTGTACTTGGTGGCTCCCACACTGTGAAGCCACTGTAATGAAGTCCCCCAATATCTAGGGCCTACTTATTTAACTTCCCAGATTCAGAAACACAASTGTCAGTATATGTAGAGATGTGACTGATCTCCCAAGACACGCTCTCAATCTACTGGTAAAAGAAAAATTATTTATTTACAATGAGAAATCAACTCAGGAAGATCGGGAAGACTGTAGGGCTGAGGACAGAGCTCAGTGGGCTTGCCTAGCAAGCAAGTGGCCCTTGTTTCCATTCCCAACACTGGAAGAAAAAAAAAAAAAGATGCTGGAATTACAAAAATATTCCTGCACCAGACAACAGACTGTGTGCTACAGTAATGGGACAAGTTGAAAGTTGTCCCATGGATGTCTCCTTTCACTCCTGCCTGGGAATATCAGCTACAGTATGTAACATCTGGTGCCCACCCATCTGGCCATCCAATCCTGTTGGATTAAAACGGGAGCCAGTTACCACTGAGTGAACCTCTACCAAGCTAGCAGCAAGCCAGGTTCTCAGCCTCCCACTTTGTCCCCTCATTTGGGTATCATAATCATTTTATGAAGCAGGTATTATTTGTCCCATTTTATGGACCAGGAAACAGAGGCCACATGGCTATTAGAAGTAAACTGAGAGAAATGGGTATGGAGGTGCATGCCTGTAATGCCAATAACTTGGGAGGCTGATACAGGAGGATTCCAAGTTTGAAGCTAGCCTAAGTAACTTAGGCCCTAAGATCCTGTGTCCAAAAAAAGAGGGTATATTAGTGTATGGCTAGAAATGTTGCTCAGTGTTAAAGAACCCCTACCAAAAAAAAGTGAATTGAGATTGGAACCACATCAACTTGACATTTAAGCCTCCAAAAATAAAGGGTGGGTGTACTTGTGTGTGGCTGGACATGTATAAAAAACCCCTCCTAACCCTAAAACCAAACCCATTCTCTTCTCTAGTACCATAAGACTTGCCAAACATAACCCCAAAGTGAGCTGGTGAATTAATGACTTTAACAAGGGATACTGAGCCATCCATCACCACTGAGAACCTATACTCTATACTTGCCAGGAGGATCAAAACGTTGCCCTTGCCCTGAATATAAAGAAGCACCTGGGCCAAGCACAGTGGGGTGTGCCTATAATCCCAGCAACTCAGGAGGCTGAGGCAGTAGGATCCCCAAGTTTGAGGCTAGTCTGGGCAACTCAGCCAGACTCTATATCAAAATAAAAAGGACTGTGGATTTAGCTCAGTGGTAACATGCCCTTGGGTTCAGTTCCCAGTACCAAAATAAACAAATACACACACACACACCAGGGCTGGTGATAATTCACTTGCTAGCATACCAAGTCTATGGATTTGATACTCAGCACCTGGCAGGAAAGGGGGCAGAGACACTGCCACTTTGGATTCCCATTTTACAAATGCTACACGTGGATCCATTGCTGCTTAGTTGCCACAACATTTCCTCAGGAGAGGATATCACTTTTTTAAGGAACAATGAAACTGTAAGGTCCAGACAGACACTAACATGAAGTGTTATTATTCATGGAGTGCTGCTAACATCCCCTATTTCCTAGAAATACAGGATGAGAACCCAGGGGAGGAGCAAACA